TTCTATCCCCTGCATTTAACCTGATAGGGAGGCTTCTAAAATCTCACTCTTTAATGTTCCTTGTTATGCTTCAACCTCCTTAATGATTTTTTTCTTCTTTATATTGATCATTAGATTTTGAATAAAATTAGTGACATTTTAATGTATTACGAGCACGAAATGATACAGTTTAATTTGAATTTATTATGATTTAAAAAAATACTTCAAATTTGTCCAGTTTTGATTTACTTTTTTAAAATTATAAAAAATTTAAAACCACACAATTTCATGCTCATAAAATATCAAAATATTACTAATTTTACGCAAAATCTAATAATCAATGCAGAGAAGAAAACATATTTGGGAGGTTGGGGCATTAAGGGCCCTATGTCCTATCAAATAGGGATTTATTTGAATTGACATATGTAACAGTGACATTTATTCTAACCAACTTTTATAAAGTGAAGTTGGTGCAGTGTAAAAGTCAACTAGGTTACTTTGATTTATGTACGGATAAATTTTTTATAAAAGTTAGTTTGATGTAAACTTATTTGGATTATTTATTAAGAAGTCATTTAAAAAAAAAAGTCTAAAATCAAAAACTAAAGAAAGCTGTTTTAACTTCAATGTAGTCATTTTGCCCAAAAGCTAACCCAAACATATCATTTTGGGACTTTAATGAGCTTCTTGCTTCTTAGCATGGCTTTTTTCCTTCTCTGATTTGATCCCAAACATAGCCTAATATTTTTCAACTTTACCCTTGAAGGAATTAACAACGCGGGCGCCACAACTGAAGAGGAGATATGACTATTTACAAACAAACCGACTCATTTCTTAGTTTGTTCTTTTCCAATATACGTGGGAAAACATGCCTATTTTTACATGTTATATTAATTTTGAAACTAAAGTAATGGCATTCTAGGCTAATGTTGATATATATATTTGAATATAAAATTCTCGATAGTATCAACTGTTTAATTGATTTGGATATACTAATATTAATATTCTATACCTAATTGATATCGTGCGAGCAAAATAATGTAATGAGGTCATCGATCGGTGCAATTTGTAACATCCCGAATTTTCTAATTCAGGATGAGCAAAAAAAGAGAAAGTTCATTAAAATTATTTAATAGCTCAATCACAATTAGGGAAAATTATGGAATATTGATTTTTCAAGGTTTAAAAATATTTTGGAAAATTTCAGAAAAATAGTCAGGAGTGGACTTTTGATCTAAAATTCTTAGGAAAATTATTTATGGGTCAAAGAAGCTAATGGATAAGAAAAATCCATTTATGATATTTTGGTTTAATTTCTGGATATATCTTATATTTCAGAAAAATAGGAGAAGGGATAGGATTGGAGGAGTAATTATTTAGAAGGACAAAATGGTACAGCAATTATACAATATACGTGCTGCCTTCTCCTCAAGACATCTGAATCATTTCTCCATTCAACAGCTGGTCATCCACGCGTCTGATTCACTCCTCCATGTATCAGCTGATCACCACGCGTTACGCTTCATTCATTCGGTGTCTAAAAGAGGAAAAAAAAAAAAAAGAGAAGGAGAACGAGAGAGAGACAGGCCGAGAGAGAGACCGAGAGAGAGAAGTTGGCGATGGAGGTGGTGATCGGAGGAGCTACACTTGCATGCAAACTTGGATTCTGAATCAGGTGAGCTTCACGAGTTTATTGCTGTCTTCATTTTCTGGTTTTGGTTCATATTACCGGCGAAGTCGAGGAGAGAGAGAGAGATGAGCTTAGAGAGAGAAAATGAACCAGTGAAGAGATGGACCGATGGATTCGGATTCTATGGGTAGATTGAAGTGTTTGATGTTGGTTTTCAAGCTTTCATGTAAGGTTGATAATTTGTCTTGAGATTACCGAACTGAAATAATATACTGGTATACTTAGACGTCGTTGCTTCTTGTTCTGGTTTTGGGTATGGATTTCATTTGTTCTCCTCTGTTTATGTCAACCGAAAACAGAGGTTAAAGGGAGGAGAAGGACGCTTCTTTTATATATATATATATATAGACATATGCATATGCCGCGGGATCCAGAAGGAGTTTGTGTGTGACGGGTTGCTCTGTTTTTTTGAATCCGTGACAGGGGAGTGTATTTCGGCGCTTGCATGTTGTTTTCGTTTCTGGTTCTTAGCTTCTAACACAGGCGTTAATCACTTGAGTTAATGATATCTGTTTTTCTTTCTGGTTGTTGGATGTTATATGGCGTCGGGTTCACTGGTTTGAGAGGAGACCGAACTGACATATATATATATATATATATATATATAGTTTCGGTATAAGTATGTATATATGTGTGTGTAGATATATGCAAGTGCTGTTTGCTCTGTTTTTGAGTTTACCGAATAGAGATTGTTATGCCTGCAAGTTTTTAGCTTCGGGTTCAGTGGAAAAGAAAGGTTGATGACATATAAATATATACACAGTTGTGATTTTGGTTCACCTAAAAATATATATATATATATATATATATATATAGGATCATATAAATATACGCTATATTGCTGTTTGAATGGGGGGAGTGTATGAGTGGTAGGAAATTGACCGTGAGGCTTGGGTGTGTTTTATAGTTAAAAGGTTGAATAGGGAATGTAAGATTTAAAGGAGGAAAAGGAGAAAAATTTAGGTGTATAAGGTGAATAAGTATGGTCAAATATTAGTCTTGGGTATGTGTTGAAAATCTGGGAAAACTTCAGATTCGAAACAAAAACATTTTACAATTGATTTCGACAGTAGTGTAGATGTAAAATGATGTTAGAGTTACTGGGGAAGGGTCCCTGTGCAAATGAGAGTGGTTTAATGTAAAAGTTGCTGAGTTAGAGGGATATTGGGTTTAAGTCAATCGAGATTCTTAGAAGTTATTAAAGAGTGAAATTATAAATTAAGTAAGAAGTTAGAGAATTATCAAATGAAGTAAGAAATGATTAATAGAGACTTAGCTGATGCTTGATAGCTAGAAGATTAAATATTGGTTTTAGAGAAACAAGAAGGAAATTTGTGTTCTTAAGGTTTGCAAATGGTGAAGAGGAATTGTAATTGACTAAAGAATGTTTATAGAATCAAGTTATTGTTGTTGAAAGGATTCAGAGGATTTGTGAGCTCTCTTAAATATGTATACACGTGTGCTGTCAAGTTAAATAAAGTTAAGCTAGGAATTTGCTTAAGGAAAATCAAGCTTGTTAAGAAAGAGGTAGAGCTTCTTGATTTGAATCCAAATAATTGAGGCTAACGGTTAATGTTGGAAGGTAGTCAAGTGTGTAAATGAATTATGAATGGTTTAGTGGGGATTCAAATGATTGAGTTATTTGACTAAATTTCTAACAAGGGAGATTGAATGTGTATTTAGGGAGATTGAATGTGTATTTATAAATGAGTACGTGTAAGTCAAAGTCATTCGGACTTTTTACTTGATTGAAACTCAAGTAAGTGGACTTGAAAGCAAATGCATGTGAGACATGACATTGTCCTTAAAATAAAATAAATAGAAATAGTATTTTTGACCAAGATGACTAGTTACTAAGTAAAGTAACTGTATAGGTTGAGATAAGGAAGGAAGCCTTTCAAAGAGAATAGTTTGAATAAGAAAATTGTCCAGGATGATCAACCGCTACGTAAGGGTAGAGATTAAAGAAGATTTGGGATTTAAAGAGTTATTTAATTTATGAGATACAGTTGGATGAAGTATTGATCTACCTTATTAATATGATAGGTTTTTATATCTGCTCAAGCCCACCAAGAAGCAGAAAGAAAGGAGAACGGTAAGGTTTGGTTTGGAGGGAAGCAGACCAGGTAGTAGTTCTTTCCTACCTTACACTTGTGTATGATTGCTGCATATCTGTTTGTGCCATATTACTTTTCTAAAGCATGAGAACATGTAATCCTTAATTCCTTGCATGGATTTTTAGCCGTGACCACGTCCAGCTGATAAACATGGGGCAGTGATTGCCAATTATTTGCGCGGCAGTGATTGCCAATTATATGCGCGGCAGTGATTGCCAATTATTAGCGCATTATTTATTCAGCTTGTCTAATAGACATGGGGCAGTGATCGCCAGGTATTTGCACATTATTTATTCAGCTTTACTATCTGTCATTGCGCATAAATGCTTAATTGCATTAGCTTGCAAGGTTATGTTCCACTTTGGCTTGTTTTGCATGCTTTATGTGATCTGCACATTTGTTTGATGGAAATTACTACTACGGAGATTCGTTCGAATCTCACCCCCCAATTTATGATGAACAGTGAAAGCTAGTAGCCCGAAGAACAAGGAGGTTGTTTAAGAAGAAGGTGGGCTGGTTGAAGATCAGAGATACTTGTTATAATTTTGTAAATTGTATAGCAAAATATATGGGCAAGTAACTTTACTTGCTCTATGGAAATATTATTTTGTATCCTCTAGAAGAAGGAAGTGAGCATTGCCAAGTGCACGTATATGCTGTCAACCAGGAGCGTTGCTTTATTTTTAATATAATATTATAAGATTGTATAGTATGAAATTATTTTAGATGATAATAGATTAAGTTGAAAGCAGGGTTGATATTGGATCACTCATCAGTTATCTGAAGGTTTGAAATATTTGATCAACAGATTCTAATGTTAAAGGAAAAAAAAATTTTCTTGTTTTTTTTCCAGAACGGAAACCTGGCGTTAGTGATTCACAGACGTTAAAATGATCCTATTAGTATATAAAAGTGAGGTGTTGCACAATTATTCTCAAACATAGACATTTATATTAATGGATACTTTATTACAGTAATTTAGTCAAAACGCTCAAGACTTCTAAATAAGATGGTACATCAAGATTACAGTTGACTGTGATCTTGTGAATCAAAGCGTGGCAGCGCCCAATTACCTATTAGGGGAAAAATCGATAAGACCAATTTGCTTTGGATATATAAAATTTCAGAATCAAAACTTACTGATGTATGAAAATAAATGATAATGGTTGACTGGAAAAATGGAAATTGACTTACAGGTGGGAAAGGTTAGTTATTTAAGGAGCCGCAAATATATAAAGAGAGTCACAATGGAAGAGTTTAACCCCATCGTTGTTGACACACAGACGAATCTCAAGAAGCAGATGTTCCCCTGAGTCATTCAATTGTATGTTTAGCATTGGATAATAACCCATGATCTGCTTTACAGCTTCTCGTGGATCTGCCTTCCGACGTGCGGTAGTTCCATCTGGTTTGATTCCTGAAACCAATTAAATATAATGAAATAAAACCCAATTACTTGCCAATAAGTTATCATTTCATGCGATCCGAGTAGCAAGAAATTTATTGCAATTCACAATTATATACTCCCTCTTGTTCTTATTATGAGAAACTTCTAACTAATTCACATGTATCACTAAAATTAATTTGATAGTTCTTATAGTTTCATCATCCCTTTTATCCAATCCATTGTATTTGCTTAGTTTTAATGTTGCTGCTTCTGTTATAACGCTGTTACTTTATGGGTAATGTGGCACTGACCATCTCTTCCTGCAGCTTCTTCACTCGCCGCCTCCTCCTCCGTCAGTCTTTAAACCGAACACTAGCATCTCTCACAGTTCATGTTGGTCGCAATCCCTTTGTATGGGACAGAGTTGGGGTCGGATTTTGCATCAGAAGACGAACCATAGAATCAATGACAGACTCATCATTACTGAGATGAAGAATCTTAAACCACAAAGACAGGTTGCATTTTTACATAAAAAAAAAAAAAAGAGCTTGTTTCTTAGCAAGAATGGAGGAGGAGGAAGAGGATACTTTTACAGCTGTGAGAAGGGAATGATGAATCTGGAACAATCAGTGAAGCTTATCATGCAAAAGGAGATAAGGACGTTGATGGTGGAGAGAGAGTAAATTAACTATGAGAGATATGACGGTTTGAAGACAGAGTGGTGGAGGGGAAGGCTGAGGGAGGAGTGGTTAGTGCCACATCACCAATAAAGTAACAGCGTTACTGAAGGACCAACACTGAAACTGAGCAAAAGATTGGATAAAAAGGGAAAAAAAAAAGATTGTTCAATTAAATTTCCCAAGTAGTTAAAACTACTCAAATTTGTCATGAAATTCAAGTAGTCATTGCTACCATTACCCTATCGACTATACTAAACTCCAACCTTACTCCCTTTAGTTTACAATACAAGTCACCTTAACTACTCATCAAATCTACGAACTAGTAGTTAACTTATTGTATCTATCTCTGAATATTTTTTCAATTTTACCCAAATTAAATGGGGCTGCGAAGGAAAGAGAAAAATACAAGGAATCATAATTAAGCATTAATTGCATAAGAAAAAAATTACAAATAAACACTAATTAATCTCCAAGTGACATATCTTTTGGATCAAGTTATCCTTCTAGAAGCAGCTTATATATCATGGACGGGAGGGATATATTTAATATTCAAGCCAGTTATAACTATAGGCATATGAGAACACATTCAAATAGTATTGTAAACAAACTGATAGAAGCAGAGGAAAGATACGGAGGGGAGGGAAAGAGACGGAAGGCATAGAGAGAGGATTCCCAAGAGTGGGACCAGAGAGAGAAGATCATCCAAAATCATCCACATCCGTCCCATAAGCAATTTTGTCCCTATTATACTGCCTCCAAGAGTGTGTTTGGATGAAACCAAACCGTGGTTTGGAAAAGTGATTCTGGATAATAGACTCTGAGAAGAATATATTCGGGAAAGAATAAATGTTATGAAAAAGTGATTTTGAGAAGTGAGAGTGTTTGGATAATTGTGATCAGAAGCACTTTTTATATATACAAATTACTAAAAAAAAGACATAAGTTAATATGATAATTACAGAAAAAATAGATTTTATGATATATTTTAATTTGAAAGAATAAAATTGTTAATAATATATTTTTATTAACATAATTAATAATACATAAGATAATATAATTAATAAATAATTAATATGTATATATATTTATAAAATATAAGATTAAATATGTTTATAAAAAAATATGTTTATAAAAAAAATAACAAGATACATATCCTATAGGCTCTCACACTCTCCCTTTTTTCTCCAAAAGCAAAAAATTTTTGCTTTTTCAAAACCACGGTTTTGGCCCAAAACCACGGTTTGTGCAAATTGGGTGGGTGTTTGGGTGACTTATCACCCAAACCATGGTTTGGGTCGCCAAACTATGGTTTGGAGTGTCACCCAAACGGTGCCTCAAGTCTCAGAATATTCGCGTTTTTCATCTCCTCCTCTGGCCGTACAAGCCGGTACCATTTGGGCTCACTTTTTGGGTCATTTTCTGAGCCCACTTCTTTTGGGATCATGACAGGATTGTTGATTTATACTCTTTCTCACTACCTTTATTAAATATAAGCATATATGAAAAAATATGTAATGTTTGTTGAAACTATCACGGGGTTTTATAAAAAAAAAGACCCAAACGACTCTCTAGAAAGTCTCGTATAATAAGGATCAGAGGGACTACAGATCAACTTGGATCCCCTAACCTTGTTTAACAAGTTCATCAAAGATGTGCTTCGCATGATTCCTTGCAAGGTTAATCGTTATTCGGAGATACTGTTGTGGATTGAACTTGTTTGAAAAGCGTTTTCCGTGCTTGTTCCACTGTCTTTTCCAAAAACTCATGCTGCTTTGGAAATTTCGAGCAGAAAACAAATCCAGCTAGTAATCAAGCAGATCATTCTGGAATACACTAAGCTGCATTGACGTACAAATACACACACACACGAGTATTAACAAGGAACAAGAAGTAATATATGAAATGTTTAAGTATAAATAACATGAGTAAAAGGGAGTTTACATCACTATTTTGCATAGGAGGCCCTGGTGAACAATATAATGGAGACACCCCACCATTCAACTGAGGCCAAAGTCCATGAACCGTGAACTTATCTTGGTGTTTGGGCAGTGGAGGATCTGGATTGCAATTTCTTGGCTTATTTCGTTGAATATTGCAGAAAGCGGCTGGCCATTGCAAGGCGAACACAAAATAATCGAATCCTGGATTGAGTTGGACGGCACTTGTGAGCTGGCTTGAATCCTTTGTATTGTGGTTGATGAAGCGGTACAAAACTGAGGCCACCACTAACCCAACACCAAATATCAAAAGTTACTTTAAGATACTCATCATGATTTGATTGCCTTTTCTTGCTTGATATTTCGTGCTAGCTGTGAGGGTTTTATATATATGGCCATCTTCAGAATCATGTGCAGGAATTTTTTATACATATTTCCAGCACAAAAATCAAGATGTAATATTGGTCAAAAGCTTAGTACTGTTCAGAATTGTATGAATGATAGGGAACTTGGAATAATTTAAAATGGCCGACACTCTAATCTCTTGTAATAAATAAAGAAGACCAACACTGATCGATATCCCTTGATGTTTTTAATATTGGGATCATCATGTAGTGACAAAATTATCAAATAAGAAACACTTGCGTCTCTTACTCTCTTTCTATTATTCAGATTCTCACTTCCACATCATGTGACAGCATTTTTTTCTTTTTAATTTTTTGGTGAAAAAATTTCAAGATGTAATATACGAATGCTAAGAAACTTGGAATAATTTGTAATGCCCAATACTCTAGTCTCTTCAATTATAAGTAAAAAAAACCAATAAGACCAAGACTAGATCTCTAATTTATAAGATTATTCTATGGCGTCTAATCACTAATGATGCGGACACTATTAATTTAGCTTCAACTTTAAAAATGTTAAGGTTTCAGCAAATGTTGCTAACGAGTCTACAATCTGATTGTTAATAATAATTCAAATAGACGTCAGTATTCGTTTCGAAGTTTGATTGTCACGTTTTTTGTTTTTTTCCCTAACTTCTGTGAGTATATAATAAAGTATATGTCTCAACTTCATTTAATGGAGTCAATACAAAATAAATTAAATACTTTTTTTAGTTTGGCGGAGCTGGTGAAAAAAAAAAAGTTTGGCAAAAGGTTTTTGGTGCTTTTTAAATTTGATGAGAATGTGACCGATTTAATTGCAACCACCCAAAAACAATAAATTCGAATGTGAGACCGTTTTCTCCTTCATTCATTTTACAAATCGATTTCTTTTTCTTTTTCGTGCTTTTTAAATTTGATGAGAATGTGACCGATTAATTGCAACCCGCCAAAAACAATAAATTCGAATGTGAGACCGTTTTCTCCTTCATTCATTTTACAAATCGATTTCTTTTTCTTTCTTTCTTTTGTTTTTTTTTAAACTTTCATATGAAATCGTAAAATTTAACTTTTCCGGATTTGTCGATAATCACACAAACACGTACACAACACAAACACATATATACATATTTAACAATACTTATTTATCAATTTATATTTTATTATTGTTTAGTTTCGGGTTTTGTTTATGATTTAGCGAGGGCGGCAAAAGCCTAGCTATAAGCTAAATTGAGATGTGAAAAATTCATTGATACTAAATGTGAGATAAGTAAAGTCAAGTGGTGATAATGAGATGTAAAATGAGAGTTATGATAAGAAGATATCAAATAAGTGAAGTGCAGTGACCCTTTCATCTTCTTTTATAGTTGTTCTATATATGTAGATTTTAATGTGAAAATTTGTTATGACAAGTCGCACTACTTACGAACGACACAACTCATTTTTGAGATTTTTTTCAAGGCATGGAAAAGCATACCTACTCTTACATCGTAAATTAATTTTAAAACTCAAGTAAAGTCATCGCTTTAGACTAATGTTGATATATTTAATTACTCAATGAAATTTGACCTCGCTTTAGTTTTAGTTTTTGAAATTTGAAATTAGGGGTTTTGATTTGTTTCAGGGATAAAAAACACAATTACAGTGACCAGAAAATTTTAGGCGGACTAAAATAAAGTTAAATTTCAGGAATGAAAATCAAAATGAAGTCAAACTTTAGGGACTAAAGATAATATTAACCCTATTTTTAATTAAAAAAATTCTTGATATTATTATCAAGTGTTGAGTTATTTAAATATACTTGCATCAATATTCTATACCAAATTGATATCATGCGAGGAAAATCATGTGGTGAAGACATGAGTGGCAGTTTTATGTCAAACATAGACATCACTATTATTAAATGATACTTCTCTGATTCTAAATATAAGACCTAATTTGTAATATAATTTACATTAGAGATTGGGTCATAAATTACGCTACAAGTTGGGTTTTACATTTAGCACAGGAGAAGTACTTTATTACAGGAATCAAACACTCAAGACTTTTGAATGAGATGGTACTTGAGGACTAAGAAACAAGTGTCGTTCATCCAGCTGTCTTATGGTCTCGTTATTGAAAACTTGACGGCGCCCAACCTGTTAGAGGGCGAGAAATGAATAGGAGTCGTTTGCTTAGGATAAAGATTCAGATATAACAAAAATAAATCTTCGTAACTGGAATGTGGAAAATAGACTTACAGGCCACAAAGCTTAAGGAGCCACAAATCAACAATCAAAGAGAGCCTTCCCTTCCTTTTCGACACACAGACGAATCTCAAGAAGCAGCTTTTGAACTATGATAGCTTCTGGATTATGACCCGTGATACCCTTAACTGCTTTTTCTATGGCCGCCTTCCCAAGTAGAGTTGTTCCATCTCGTTTGATTGCTGAAACAAATTAAAATGAAATCCAATTACTTGCCATAATAAATAATCAACAATCTTGCACATTAAATAATACTCTACCAATTTCTTTCCCCTTACCTCCTTTCTTGATAAGTCCATCAAGGATGCCTTTAGAATGTTGTTTGGCAAGACCGAGAGTTATTCCGAGATACGGTTGTGGATTGAACTTGTTTGAAGAGCATGTTCCGTGCTTGTTCCACTCCCTTAGCCAAAAACCCTTGCTGCTTTGGAAGCTTTGAGCAGAAAACAAATCCGGCCAGTAATCAAGCAGATCTTGCTCGAACGCTTTAAGCTGCATTGACGCGCGCGCACACACACACACACATATTGATTGGGAAGAGGAAGAAAGTAATAAAAGAAATATTTATTTAAGAGAGTTTACATCATTATCTTGCATGGTCGGCGCCGGCGAACAATATAACGGAGGGTTCGCATTATTCAACTGAGGCCAAAGTCCATGAATGGTGAACTTATCTTGGTGTTCGGGAAGTGGAGATCTGGATTGCACTTTCTCGGCTGAGTCTGAAGGTTGCAGAAAGCGGCTGGTAGTCGCAGGGCCAACAAAAGTAATCATAACCTGGTTTGGGGTTGGGGGGCGCTAATAAGTTGGTCTGTATTATTGGTGTTGTTTGGAGGCCAAAACAGGTTTGTGTTTTGGGGTTGAAGTGATACAAACCTAAGGCAGCCACTAACCCAACACCAAATATCAAAACTTGTTTTAAGCTAATCATCATCATGATTGATTGACTTGTCTTGCTCACCCTTCCTGTTACCTAGAAGGGTTTTATTTATAGCCATCTTCAACATCATATGGTGGGAATTTTTTTAATATATTATTTGTCTTGAACGACATCGAGATGTGATATTGGGCAAAAACTTAATGTAACTTGTCAGAATTATCCCAATAATGCTACGAAACCTGAAATAATTTATAATGCCTAAGACTCTATCTCTTGTAATAAATAAAGAAGACTGGACTCGATCTCTTCAACGTGATTTTTTTGTGGAAATTAATAAACATGATGTTTTTAATACAATTGGGATCATCACATGGTGACCAAATTATCAAATCATAAACACTTGCGTCTCTTACTCTCTTATATTCAGAATTCTCACTTCAACATCATCTCAGGGCTTTTGAACCAAAATAAGATGTAATATTGGACAAAAATTTAATGCTGCTCAGAATCATATTACTGCTACGATTTAAAACTTGGAATATTACCTCCTCTCCTTAATATAAGAGTTAATTTCACTTTTAATTTAGTTCTAAATATAAAATTCTGATCTATTTGGTCTCTATTTATTCATTTTTTTTAAAGTAGCCCTTATAGTAGTTATATGTACTAAATGTTTCATCAAATGATAGTTCTAGTTAATACACATACTTACTAAGGGCATTTTAGAAAAAGTAACACCTATTTATTATAAATAACTAACTTAATAAATTTTTTCAATCTACGTTAAATTAATTAACTGGTTTTTATATTAAAGACGGAGGCAGAACTTTATAAGGTTAGAGTTATTTTTATCCTGAAAATATTAACGAAGAAGAGATCCAGCAACATCGGCTATGTACCTGTCCGTGACAACGAAGAAGTCGAGATGTCGTTATTGCATATCGAGGAACAATGATTTGCTTGGAATGGCTGGAAAATTTACGTGCAAATCTCACCCGTATTCCTCTCAGAAACAGAGCAGGACGAATATGATGGACCTATGGTGCAACGTGGGTTCCCGAGTCTCTATACTCCAGCAGTTTGTGATTCTTTGTGCCTTCAACAAATGGTCCGTGAAGAAATTCGTCGGATTCTTCAAACCTACGATGGTGAAACCCTCAGCTTGACCCTCACTGGCTACAATTTAGAGGCTGTGCTGGCGATTCTCACGGCGTACGACATCAAAATGGCCTTCGGGCTCGAGCACCAGAAGCCGATGGTCAACGTGATATCGTTTGGCGGGCCGCGCGTGGGCGATTGGAGGTTCAGGCGGGAGATAGA